GTTACTTTTAATTAATTTTATCATTTTTATAAATTTTAAGTAATATATATGTTTTGTATAATTTTGTATATAATTAGTATAATTTATGAATATTCAAAAACCGTCTCAAAAAAAAGTTTTGTTATATATTTGGTTAATTAGTTTAGTTATATAATAGTTTATATTTTTTAGTTATTTAGTTTATAATTAAGTTAATTATTTTATTTCGTTAAGGGTAAAAAGCTCGTTAATTAATTTATATTAATTCGTCTTATTTAGTTACTAGCCGAACTTACAAAATGAATTCAATTTGATTACATTCCTAATTAATTGGCTAAATTTGTAATGCGATTGACCACTCAATTCGGTTAAAATTGTAACTTATTAGCCGAATTCCCTAAATCCGTTTGGGCATTTTTTTCACAAATTTCAGCAACCCAATTCACTTAATCCCAACCCAATGCTTTTCCTTCCCAGTACCCCATTCTTTTATCCAATTAACCTAGCCCATAACTACAATACAATACATACAACAACCCATAGTCCTCACACAACCCAGCAGCTCCAACGTTCACAAAATACATCAATTGTACGCATCAGTACACGGTGTCAATCACAGCAGCAACACAACAGCGAGCAAACGGCGTCGATTTCAACAGCGAGCAAACGGTGTCTTCACGGAAAGCGAGCAGCGGCAGAAATCATGGCAAAAAGCAGATCGCTTTGTCGTCTTCTCCAATCGCCTCGACAAATAGTATGTGATGTACTGCTTCAGCAGGAGTAGCAGCTGCACATTCGTCCTTCACAACCAGGTGGAGTGATTTCCCTGCCTTGTACGTCCTTGCAAAGAATCGAACGGCTCTTGTTGTTTAGCAGTTGGAATTTGTTGAGAAATTGGATTTTTTGTACATAAAAAAATTCAAATTTTGAATTGAAATGGATCCCATTTGCTTCACCCGATTTCCCCCCAATCTGCCCTATTCCCATTTATATAAAGCCCCTCTTTGCCTTCAGTTAAGTTGTTGGAAAAAATAGAGTTGGAAGAACATGATTTATATATAAAAGTTGAGAAAAAAAAAACAGACAGAAAATACATAAAGGGGCACAAATACAGTAGTTAGATTAAGGACCTCTAATCTCGAACTACCGTGTCAAGTTTCCTACTCTCTTTTGCTGAAAGCTCTCGCCGGAACCCGGCGAAGCGCGACTGGTGGTGGAGTCATGTTCAGAAGCTCGTTGTCTCCAGTACGCTGCTCCAAAAAAGGTGTAGTTCTTCATTTTTTTTATTAGTCCCCTTGCCTATTCTATTTGTAGTTTACTATTGGTGTAGATGATAAATTATATACCTTTTTTTGCTCATTTAAATATGAATTTGTCACTCTTAGTATAGTTGCATTTTGTTTGTTTGTTCATTTTCTTTTTGGTTTCCCATAAGAGTTAGTTTCTTTTTGTTTTGTTGATTTATTAGCTTTTCATTCCTGAATGTGTGTGTATAGACGTGGGAAGGCTGGTTCCTGACTTTTGTTGCTTCTGTCTTCTTATTTTTTATGGTATAGTCGTGATCGATTTTGAAATGTTGTACTAGTCTTAGTTTGCTCTTGTTCACCATAAAACTGTAATAGTGCTTTATGTTAGACGTCACGTTCTTCATTCCTGCACCTCGAGTTGGATGAATGGATCAAGACGTCAAGATTTTGGTTTCCTTCTTAAGTCTCTAGTGCCTTCATTCTAAATCTTTTACTTGTGATGATTGAATTTGACTCGGAGTATTGGTTCTTGTTGTGTGTGTGCTCCCTTCCCAGATTTTATCCTCCTTTTCCTTTGTTTTAGTTCTTGACTTCTACCCATTTTTCCCTCTGCCTAATTTCCCTGTTCTATTTACTATGTCTTTAAGCTCTCTATTGTTGTTTATTTTGTTCATAGGAATTCGTTAATTTTCAGCAATGAAGTGTGGTGCATCGAGTCCCTCCCTTGTAGTGGTTATTGCTTCATCAATGTGGTTCTTGAGTCCTTGCATATTATTTGAGTGTGTTGGCTTATGTCTTCGATTTGGTTGTGAGTTGAGAATACATGTGAGAGTCAAATGGTTGCAACTTTTGGTTGTTTAAATTCTTTCGAGGTAGCAAATTTTTTTTGGGAAGGAAAATGGTTACTCTTTTTATTTTAGTGTGCACTAATATTCTATTTGATCTCTTCTTGTTTTATTGTTTATTTGGCTCGATTTTATATTTGTCAGTGCTGTTAGTATGGTTTAGTATTTATTTTTTTTTGAAGAAGTATGACTCATTGTCTAAATTTGATAAACAAAAGTGAGCTACAGTTTGTAGCTTTCTGCTTGGAAGCAGTAGCATAAATAATCAACTTTTGATCATCAACTTGGGTTGGTTTGCTTTGTGAACTTGCATTTCTTTCTTTGGAGCTCCACTGATGAGTTCAATTGCGTTTAGTTGATAATTTATCTTATGCATATTATCATTCTTATTATTTTCGGATGCTAATTCGTTTTCTTTATTTTTGTTGCATGTGATACCATCCGAGTCCTCTTTTACTCTTATTTCCCTTTCTCGCATTTTGAGAGAGCCATAAAGGCTTAAATCACTTCCTTCTGAGTCGGCCAGCCAATAAAATCGAGGAACAGGTCCCCAAAAGTCGATGTATAGGTGTTCAAGAGTCTAAGAAGGACTGTATACATTGTATATCACAGCAGAAATGGGCCTGAGAAGCCCTCTTAAATTTCAGTTTTTGTATTGTAATGTAATTGGGTCAAAGACCCATTTATTTTTGGTATTATTTGCTAATTTAAGGATAGGTGAAGATTGGGCCAAAAGCTCAAAAGAAAGTTAGTTTTTTTTATGTTCGCCTAGGACAGGTACAGGTGGTCTCTAATGGGCCAAAAACCCAAAGTGAAAGTAGGCCCAAGTAATGGCCCAGACGGACAGAAAACCAAACTTGGGCCCCAAACTCTCTCTATCCCTTTATTTTTATCTTCTTCGTATTTGTTTAAACGTTTATTTGCTAGTTAATTTTAAGGTTCCTAATTCAATTTCCCCAAAAGTAGTCACTTCGGGATTTTCTAAAGACTAAATAATCATGCTTATTTTTCTACTTAAATTACTTTAAAAATTTACTTAATAATATTTTTAATATTTCCCTCTCCCCTAAAAAAAATTATTTTAAGTCTTAATTGCTTATTCCCTCTATTTAATCAAGTATGCCCATCTTCTTTAAAATAACTTGCCAAATAGTTAATTACCGGATAATCGCGTGTTAGTGGGCATTTCGGGTGCTTTAAAACCCTTCCTGAAATGTTAATATGAACCCCGAATCCCTTTTAAAAGTTTTCATCAGATTTTCTGTTGTAGTCTTTTGAAAACAATAGTTTTCTTAATTTTACTTTAAAAATTAAGTGGCGACTCTAAACTAGTATCAATCTATTTTTAAATAAATTAGAATGGCAACTCTGCTGGGGAGTTGAATGGGTTCTAACCTTAAAATTAACTTATTTGGCTATTTGTTTAAATTGCTTAATTATTTCAATTCTTGTATATTATAAATTGTGTCATTTATGGCATCGATTCCGCCAAATGGCAAGTAGTTTGCATTAGGAAAAAAGCCGGTTACGTGGCTTACCACGACTGTCCTTCAATAAAAATACTATTTGAATTCATTTGAAGTGATAAACGAATAGTTGGCTTGTGGTCATCCAACGTCATTTATTAGACTTGACCCCATAGTTTGTCTGACTCGAGTAACTAGGTCTTATATAAACCAACTCTTAGGCAACTAGTGTAGAGCGAAACCAAATCCTTTTTAGTGCATTGAACTAAGATGACCCAACACCCAAGGTGTGTTGGGCCCATTAGAAAGACCACCTTGAGTCCAAAAAGGCCCATGGCCTAAACAGATGATCATACTTGTGTGTTTAAATTTGAAGGATGTATATGTTGTTTGAAAAATCATTGTTCTTGGGGTTGGGAGTTTAATAGTTTGTTCTATTCGAAGAAGGAGTTGTACAATCTACGATTCCATCTAAAGTATGGACATTCGGAGATGACAAGAAATCAAAGGTGAAGGACCTTTCGTGGAAGCACAGTTTAGGATTGTATCCCTACGCGGGACTGATTATTTTGTATCCTACCCTATTATGTATCCCCATTCAGTTTATTCACAAAATTTGTATAAATTCGGGTTTTAGGGACAATGAAATGTTTCAAATGACGTATACATCCCTCAAATTGTTAGGCCTACCCTTGGCACAAAAGGGTCACATATTTTAAAAATGTACAATAACTGTTTATGTGTTATAACTGCTTGTATGATTATATTGCTTTATTTGGAGATGTTCTAGCCTACGTTTTTTGGAAATTTTCTAGAAACCTCTAAGCACAAATATCAAGTCACTATAAAAAATGCGTCCAAATACTCTTTGAGTCTTTAGTTTCCCAACAAAATTCGAACTTCATTTTTCAAATCTTAATTTCTCATTTCGGAATAAAGGTTAATCCTCTATCTTAAATCGAAAAGAGATTCAAGGGTCGAACTACGTAGGACCTGAATTCTCTTTTGAGATACGTAGGCAGCCTTTCAAGGTTCAGTCCTCATTTTGAGAAATTTTATCTTTTTCAACTCTTGCAATGAGGTTCGAATTTCATCTCAATCGAAAATTAGAAGTATATCAATAAAAGATGAAAAAGAAAACTTGGCTCGACGAAAGTCAATCTTTCTGTCACTAATCCCAAAGCTAAATAGACAATTTTTTGTCTATTAGCCATATTTTTTATATCAGTGGGCTAGTCTATCTTCAAATGAAGCAACCTTTGTCTGTTTGCACCAATGTGTGATATCTTGCACTATTTATCACCTTCAGACACTAACACGTTTATCTTTTGAGTTATTTTTCTTCTATCATGTGCTTAGAACTGATCTGTGTTGATAAACTGACTGAACACCCTTATTTCACAAGATCTAGGGCTCCCAAAGATTCCTTCCCCGATCAAAGTTCGCAAAAAGGAAAGGCAGTAATGGGTGATAACAATGACGAGGTTGGCTTGACTGATGTTGTCGTGGCTCAGCCCACCGCCGCTGATCAAAATGAATTAGTTATACAGTTAATGCAACAGATTACCGAAATAAAGATCGAAATGCAAAGAATGCAAGATTTGCGTAATCCAATTTCTGCTTTCAACCCTTCAGGAGATGTAAGGCCTCCATTTCACTTTCCTCCTTCAAACACAGAACAATCTCAAAACCCACCCTCTGACCCCGCTCAAAATTCCCCAATCATTGATCTAACCACCCCAAAATCCCCATCATGCCTTTGTCTCTTACCAAGCGCCACCTCCTCCTCAAGGTACCAACCCCCAAACCTTCCCTCCTTATCAAAATGCCAACCCTTAAGCTTGCCGTCCCACTCAAAATCAAAATGTTAACAATCCCCAAACCTTCCCCCATCACCAAAATCAGCATACCAACCCCCAAACTTTCCCCCAAATTACCAAGCCACTCAAAATACCCAAAATCCCTCAATTGCTCCGCCATTGCCTCAAAATACTACTTTTCAAATTCCAATCCCAAATGAACCATATGTCAATTGTTTCGAGCTTGATCACTATAAGGAACAAGAGAGAGAGTGGAGGTCAAAGGAAGAGGCAACCAAGCTGAATATGAAAGAGGAGATCAGGAAAGCCATGAAGGAGTTTCACTATTGATAAACTTAAATTACACCTCCCTAGAGAAGCATAAGCGATCGTTATCAAGTAAAGAACCCAACTTGTAGGTTGGGGTCGATCCCACGAGGAAAATGGTTTAGACCTTACTTTAACCAACAATTAAATTCAATTAGTCAAATTACTTCCAGAAACAAGTAATTAAATGGGGGGTTTGTGAAACAAATTGTAAGAATTCAATAAGTAATCAATAAACAAAAGTCAATTTTTGTTGTTATCAAGATGAGAGAATTAACTAGGGTATACGTGTTCCCCACAAGCTCATAACGCTATAATCCTAGTAATAAGAATCCTTTCCTAGTATATCACATGCAAAGTGGTAAATTATGTATCTCTAAATCCTTGGTCCGACATCTAGAAAATTTCACCCCGCACCTTAGTCTAGCTACGCGTGTATAATTTACTAACCCTTTACCTATACCTCATATTAGCCATCATAATCGATGTTTGGCTTAGTTCTTACTTCGCACCAATCGACACTAGACTATTAGATAGTATCACACTAAATCTATGTTGATAATCCTTTTCTTGTTAATTACCTCCTTGGTCTGGCAAGTAGTAACAAGGCGAGTTCTAACGTTGGCCACCGTTAAAAAAGACTTCTAAACGAAAGCATTATCAATTCATGCGAAATACTAGTCACAAATTGCTTATTTACTATTCATACTTTGTTAATCGCTCATGGTTCCCACAACCGTAGTTGTGGATTTAGTTACCCATATTAGCAAGAACATAATTCCTAGGTTTAGACGAAGAAATCATGAACTTACGTAAGGAGAATAATAAACCCAGAAATTCAACTTGAATTGCAAAACCAAAATCTTCAAAATGAACTTAGGAAATCAATAATTGCTAGGCTTGAAAATTAATCTCCCAAGTCACAAAGTAAAACTAGAATAATAATGTCTAATCCCCAAAAACGAGGTGTACATACCCTATTTATAGAAAACAAGTCCTAAGTTAAAAAGGAAACAAATTAAAGAATGTTTGTTCAGGCACGCGTCTTCATTCTATGAGACTGACTCATAGACCATCAGTGGATCTACAGTGCGTGAGTCCCTTCCGTCAGCCAGGACTTGGAAAATATTTCAGCTTCCACCAATCAGCTTCTCTAAAGCAAACGACGAAACTATAGCACAGACCGTAGATCGATCTACGGTCCATCAATCCCCCTCCGTAGCTTTACACTTAGAATCTTCAAAAATCAGGTACTGGAACCTTCGCAGTATCAATCTACGGCTGAACAGTACGGTCCGTGAATCAATCTACGAACCGTCAATGGCCACCGTGGTTCCACACTTGGTCAGATTTCCCTGATTTGCCTTCCATGCCCTGCCTGCTGATCTACGGCCATCACCTACAGACTGTCAATGGACCTACGGTCCGTGGATCACTTCCGTGAAAGCACTTTTTCTGCATTTCTTTCAGCTGTCTCTTTACTTTCGTGCCTAAACATCTTTCCTGCAAAATATGATAGAAAACACATAAAAACTAATACAAAAAGGCCCTAGACACACACAACTTGCAAGTGAAATGTTTTAGATATACCGTAAACTCACGGTATATCAACATCCTCAACTTAAATTCATTGTTTGTCCTCAAGCGACGCACTAAGACTCTAAATGACACTTGTATAGAAGCAAGCATTTCAAGCACAAGCAATCACATGGCTCTCTACCCCACTCTCTTTGTGGGTACAAAATTTGTTCTCTTAGACTCGATAAGCTAATTCATGCGGATCAAACTATGACAACGATAGACCAACTAACACAACATACACGGTCTCACTATCACCAAGGTACCAATGTTCCGACAATGTACTAAGTCCCTTACTTCAAACGAAATCCCTTTTCTTTCACACAATGACTTATGAATTGAGTACAAGGATTCATTCAACACTCACACTTAGAAATAGCTTCAAGTACAATTAGTGCTCAGTACCATAGGCTTGCCCTTATTTTCACTACTTAGACTCTCCAAACTAGATTCTAGGATCACTATAGGACTTTCTTGGCTTGTGACGTAGGCTCAGGGTCAGGTGTGGTACATTTGGGTACTTCTTAGTGACTTTCTGCCCTCCTTAACATTACACTAGGCTTTCAACCTCTTTTTGCCCTATTTTTGTCATC